TTATGCACTATGATACAAATGGTTAAATAGCTACAGTTAATACCTTTTCAAAGTCAGAGGTTCTATCTTGAGTAAAATCCTTTGACGCAATTAACTTATTCTATACTTTTAGAGCAAGCTGGTTCATTTATCTAAAACCACAAATAAGAGCAAACTAGGACCAAAAAATTAACTGTGCAAAATTAGTCAGCTACCATGGTAATAATACAGCTCCTATTTTCCTGCAGACTATGGATTTAAAAATCTGTGGTAAGACAAGATGATGAACATGTCTTATTTCAAAGTGTAATTCTTATGCTAACCAAGTCCTGAGCTTTTGATAGCTAAACTCTCTTGTAGATGTTTATGAAATGCTCAATTGGAGTACTTACCAATTTCAGTCAAGTACATTATACTTAATATACTTCTAGAAATTCAAATGTAAACAAAAGTGTTTTTCCCTTCATTGTCTAAAAGGTGTTAGGCAGACTTATACACTAGTAAATGGAAAATAAATCAAGTTCAAGAAACAATTTTGTTCAAACTTAAGAAACACGTCATGATGCATTGTTCAAACTTGGTTTATTTCCAAACCACTAGTATATGAAATACCCTTCTCTTTACCCACTCAGCACACACACATTTAGTGACATTTCTCCCACAGGTATTTGCACAAAGCCAAAAACAAAGCCTTAAGGTAAAAGAATCTTAGGTACCATCAGGTAGAGGAGGTATTGTAGGGAGCGGAGAGCTGCACTGCCTGTGTCACTTCCTGCCATATTTCTATGCCCAAAGTCTGTTCAGTGATTATCTGGATGGAACAGAGTTCTTAAGCAGAAAGTAAAGATTTCCCTTTTTGCCACTGTACAACAACATAATTCATGAATCACCTTTCACTTAATCCACCTATAATCACCCAATGCATTATATATCCTTTTTAATTCAGTGTTGTACATTTGCGTCCAGTATTTGCCTGGCTGTCTGCATGACCTTCATGCTCATCTGTAACAATGTTTCTGCCTTAGATTGTAAAGTCTTAGAGGTGATATGTCAGCCAATTTAGTTTGCTTTATACAGTAAGAAAGATATGGTAACATACACATAAGTGCCTCAGATTCTTTTTGGTGACTACCATGATGATGATGTTGCTAAAGAAATTGATTGCTAGCCTCACATACAAAGTTAGAGGCTTGAGTCACTTAGGAATCTGAGGCTATATGACTATACTTTGTTGTTCCATATTCTAACTTCTAAAAAGTCAGGTCTATAAGAAAAGGAATAGTCACACATGTGGAAATCGGCCATCAGGGATTAAAAACAGAGGTATCTGGCAAGATTTCCAGATATTAAAAAGAGCTTAAAAAGAATGATGACATCTTATACATTTTCCTTTTTCTCACAGCATAAAATGGAAGGATCTCTGAAAAGTTTTGAGTAGTTGCCAAGTAGTTCCACCATAAATTGCTGTGTGACCAGAATAAATCCTTTAACCTCTCTACTTCAGTTTCCTCATGTGGAATATGACAAGTATATCAATAATTTAAAAGTTGTAGGATACCTAACCAAACATATTCCTTTTTGCAAGGCTTGACAACAGCCAAAGTTTACTCCCAAGAGACAGCATTTTTTTAGCTCCAAACATAAACACCTAAACCTCATTTTTGAGCCCACATATGGAAGACCATTCACACTAAACATTTGGATGGTTCCTCCTTCCTCACACTTCCAGCCAGGCCATTGTTCTCACTGAAGTTCCAAGGACTCTAATTGCTGCCACACTCTCCACAGAAGGTCATTGGAAGTGCTCTTCCACGTTGCTGGGGGCTACGGGCACAAGGCGGGAGGGAGGCTGCCAGGGGAAGCTGGGTCCGGAAGCTGCCTCCCTCCTCTGCCATCCTGAGGGAGGTTGGTGGCTACAGAATCCCACCAACCCTTCCATCTCACCCCTCAGGCTCCTCAGACACCCTTTCCTCCAAAAGCAAGACTATTCCTTGGAAACGGCGAGATATTTGACCTTAGTTAAGTAAATAAATATTTTAACAGAATAATTCTGTGAAGTGGGAAAGGGTAGCAAGAAGGAAGAAGAGAAACAACTAATCTGAGAAGAATCCTGCCTCAGCCCTCACTAAGGACCAGGAAAAATAGTAAAAAATAGTTTATCTGCAAACTAAGAGGTAAATATTATGTGTATTCAATACTCTGAAAATTTCATGTTACAATCTATAATATGTCCTTCTGACACATAAAAAACTGACTATACTCATGTAGTTTCCCATGATAACCAGCTTCTGATTTAAAATACTGCCTCAGTTTTCTCAAACAATTGAGGATTCAATCATAAAAATTTAATTACATGATTTGTACAAAGGAAGGGAAAAAAAAACCTGAAACACTGTCTCTGGTTGTCAGCCTCCAGTTCCCTCTGGTTGTCTGTAAAATGCTTCAAAATCTATACATAGAAGTACTTTCTAGAAATTGTATAAGGAAAAGTCAGATAATGCCCATTGGCTTCTCTCATCTTCTATTGTACACTTACAATTATATTTTTGTTTGGCATATACAAAACTGTTTCCATCTGTTGCCCTTAAAGGTATATTTTATTTCTTGTGTATCTGTTTAAGGTTTATATTTCTTAAACTGTCTAATCAAACATTTACCACTAATACTAAGATGAAAATACTGAATAAATGTTCTCCCATTAATCTCAATATATTCCACTTTTAGGAAGTCATTAAAAAAGAAATCAGGTTATTTGGTGATAAATCCTCTATTTTCACTGATATGGATGTGAATGATGACTTTTGTTGCTTACTAGACAACAATTCCCTTTCCTTCTGAGAAATCTATGCAGTAATCTCCTCTGGGAGCTTCTGGGTCCCAGGCCCCTAACTACTGTGAAATATTGAAATTACAGTGGGAATTCCATGTGGGAGTCAGATTATAGCAAGAAATTGGAATGGGATCCCTAAGACAGATCCTATTTATGAACTATAATCATTTTGCCCCAGACTCAACAAAGGGAGGGATAGAACTGTTATCTCCTGTTGTCTCAGGGCACGTGCCTGAGAGTGTATCTGTTCAGCTGGCCTTCAAAACTCTTTTGCACCACTCTTTGAGAAACTCATGTTACAATCTATAACATGTCCTTCTGATATGTAAAAAAAA